ACTGTCCAAAAAAACCTAACTAAACTCTTTTTTATTTGGGTAATGTCCCTCATCAGCATCCATCTTCATCTCACCAACAACCAGTGGACCAAATTCTGAACCACTGTTCTGCTGCCTCCAGGCTGAGCAGTCACGAAAGGGAAATGTAATCTTGAGGGGGAACCCACAGGAACAATGCAGTCTCTCTGCACCACAGGCTGGGGAATCTATGAACCTGCTTTCCACGGCCATATATGTTGTTCCTCATCTGCCATCCCAGCACAGGGTAAGGGTTATCTCTGGCTGTGTGACATCTGGGTAGCTCATGAATGTGCCACATGTTACCCCATTGTTTACAGACCTACAGACAATTCCTATATGAGGCTGCCAAGTAGGGAGAACAGGATCATTAAGGATGAAAATTCCCTCCCTCAGGGCAATTGGGAAGGGGGAGGAGCTAAGACAGCTTCCCTGGAATCCCCAAGCGACTCTCGCACAAAGCATAATTTTGTCCCATCTTCAGGCTCCTCTCTCACCTCCACAGCAGCTTTGTGAGTCCCAGGATTGCAACAGACTCCAGAGAGAAAATGGAAAGATCCAGAAGGGCTGATTGGCACAGGCAGTCTGTTCAAATGCTTGAGCCCTTCACCCCATTCACCTGCTGTGTGTGTCCCGACCTCAGAATGATATCACACCTGTGGCCCACATGAAGGTCAGAGTGCTCCCTAGCTAGTGCAATATATGAGAGGTCTTTTTGAGCTGTAAGTCCCAGCTTCTCAGGAACCAACAACGCCCCCTTTTGGTGTTAAAACATCTCCTTTATTTACTAGGCAGACAAGGGAAACATGGTTTCCAAAATCAGCTTTGTCTCTCATATTTTTCTTCACTGCTGATGTAAATGTTACTGCAGTTACTTACCAAGCTTTAACTTTCCACAACCAAACACAGACAGACAGCCAAGCACAGATATCGGGGAAGACAGCAGAAGAGGGAAAAGGATAAAAAGCTCAGCTGTGGCTGAACTGAAATAGTGTTATCATGTCAAAGGTGGCACCTGTCTTGGATTGGCAGGAAGCCTGGCCCATGGACATTCAGGTCATCCTGGAGTTGGAGGTGAAATCCTGTTGTCAGGAGAAATTACCAACTTTATCCCAATAGAAGGAACCAGTGGAGCAGGCAATGACCAAATTCTGGACAGGCTAGGTCATACTGAGAAAAAATGTGGTTTGGTAGGTCCTTCTAAAGCAGGGGTTCTTAGAACAATTTTTTTGGTGGCCTAAGAATACGGCCACCAACTCTTGCTGGTGGCCACACTCACACTTTTTCATGAAATACTTAATTACCTTTAGGAAAACCAAATAAATATGCACAAATTATGATGATTTGGACATGTATATATTTATTGCTAGCTAGTAAGTCTGTTGTGAAAAGTGATATTAACAAACATACAGGTATTGCTTTTCACAGCAGTCTTACTCAGCCCTGGCAAGCCTGGGGACAAATTAAGCCCTGGATGGAGGGTCAGGGGAGGCATTGGGGGCCAGGGAAGATGTGGGTTGGCAGAGGTAGCAGGGGACCGGAGCCTGAAGCCCTGTTGCCAGAGCCTGAAGCCTCGCGGCTGAAGGACAGGGCCCAACGACGGAACTCAAAGCTGTGTGGCCAGAGCCTGGGGCCTGCTGTTGTGCAGCCAGAGCCCAGGGCTGGAGCCCAAGCCCCATGTCCAGAGCCTGCCTCCCTGCTACCTCAGGGCTGAAGCCCAAAGCTTGAGCCCCACCGCCCCTGGGAAGGCCAGGAACTCACTGGCTGCCTGGTCCTCCAGCCTTGTGCCCCAGGTAACTCCAGAGGGGGGCAGGACCCAATCCCTGCTGATAGCCCCAGCAACCAACATCAAGGCGGTGCATCTAGGCGCAACAGGGACTTCTGGGTGTTAAACAAAGCATCCCTCTCTGCACTGTTTGAGAGTTGAGCCAGCAAGTCTATGGTCACCCTGAATGAGCAAGCAAACACTATGCACACCACACAGACTCCCACAAGACCACATTCTGTCTGCTACTTCAGCTCCTTCCTTCCCTCAGGAGCCTGAGAGTTTTCCTTGAGAACATGGCTCCTGAGCCCCATAGTGAATTTCCAACAGGGTCAACCCAAAGAAGTGCAGTGTTCCCAGCTCCACCTACGTGGCCACAGAGAGGTCACCTGACCTTGTCAAAATGAGAACAAAGCATCAGCATCAGACTGGTAGCCCATTGAAATAACCCTTTGCAAATGTTAACAGGGTTTTCCCGATCTGTTCTATGCTACATAATACTGCTGTGAGACCTGGACTACACTGGCCTGATGGGACAGACATAAATGAATTAATGACCTCTGCTGAACAGGGAGAAAGTGAAGCAGGGATTCAGGTGGCCATAATATGAGAGAAGCTACAGTACTTACAGCACCCTCACCCTTTGTGGGAGAATATGCAACAGTTGCCCCTAGCCTCATGAACGTACCATTTCTCCAGCAGGTATTCTAGGCAGCCATACTATTAGTGATGTGAATTTTCCATACACACCTCCCCATTATTCGCATTTCTGATGTCTTGTATGTTTCCAAGTTCTGTGTTTGTTCTTTTCGTTACCCAGCGCTCACTGCGTAGCCCCTGGTTGGCTGCCAGATGGGGTCCAAGAGTAATCGAGGAACACTTTTGCATTTTGCAGCTTGCAGGCCCAATAGGACAGATGATCCTCTACTGCATAACCTAATATGATAGTAGCATTTTGAAAACCCATTAGGCTGTGAGTGCTCACCTAGATTCAGAGCATCCGGGCAGTATGGGAAGCCAGAGCAAGGGTTACATTTTCAGAACTTCTGGATCATTCTGGACTACAGCTTTGAAAATTCTTGTTTTTGAAAGCATCCATAACAGAGAGCTCCAGTCCCCTGATGTTTACCCCATGACTTCCTTTGGAACTCACGCTACATAGGCCTTACTCAAATTCACACAGGAAGGCTGTGATAAACCTGGGAATAGACTCCAGGTCTTCACATGCAAACCATCTTTCTGTCCCTCAAGGTAATGTGCCTTTACCGTAAAGGAAAGAAATGCCCCTAATTTGTGGTTATTTACAGCACTGTAAATCAAGCATTTGCCATGAAGTACCAATAAAAATTGTTTAACATCAGACTTAAATAACTAAACTCTCAGCAGCAGCTCATAAAATGAGACTTGGCAGTTCTTATGCAGTTATGGTTAAATTGACAGTCCTTTAGGGAGTTAAGATAGCCAAAAGCAGTAATAGTTAAGAACATAGTGATAGATAGTGCAGTTTGTTGGTTGGACAATCTTTACTGCACACTGTTGAGCCCTTCACATGTTAGGAACTGTTAATTAGCACTGGAATGGGAGAATGAAGATATCCGTATGGGAGACTTTGTCATTCAGTACTATCCTACTGAACTGATATAGCCTTCACCCACATGGGCCTAGACAGAAGAATGAGCTCTGGCATAAACGGTCCTGTTGCCATCTGTATGTAATAGGATACTTTTCAAGCAGGAAGAAAGATGGAAGAGGAAGCAAGTCCAAAAGAGGCTGAAAGGGAAAATCAAAATCTGAAGAAGGGACCCAGAGCACAAATGTAAAAAGAACATCCATTAAGAATCTACATCTCAATTCCCTTTAAAAAGTCAGGTGTGTGAGTTAAATTAGCCTTGAGCAAGGTCTAAGTTCCACTGCCAAAACCCACTTCCACTGCCAATAGCCCAAGCTGACATAACAGAAGCATTTGGGGACTTTTCTGTAGCATTAGGCATTCATGTCTCTTTTCCACTTACTTTTTTAAAAATGTATTTGTATTGTGGCCAACTACCTCCCTCTCTGTTAAACACGGTGAGTTTACAGATGGCGTCCAAATCAGATCCACAGCCCTACACTTTGAGGGACTTTTAACTCTGTCCCCAGACCTGGATCTGACTTTTGCAATCTCCCGTATCCTGGAGCAAAACATGCTGAAACTTTGGCATGTTCAAAATCTGGATCCAAATTTTGCAGCATAATCCCACCTCTGGGCTCCATTTCTGTTACAGTTGTGAAAGCAAGGCAATGTTGCAGTGCAGTACAGCCTTGTGATCCACACCTAGTCACACTCCCCACCCCTACAAGAATGCTGAAGCAATTTTCAAAACTCTAAATGCCAGAGGGCACTGGGAGTGTTCAAAGGCTTTCAGTCTGCAGTCTGAAATTTATTTTCCTGATATTAACTTGTGCAACTCTAAACTGTGTCCTTCATGCCCATGCATGAGTGTGTCCAGTGGCACAGAACAGCATCAGCCCCAGAACAGCTCAGGCTTTATGCCACAGAAAGCTGGCATATATGCCAGGGGTGGAAAGTCTGCAGTGGTGAAAGTCAGCTGCAAACTTCCCTTTGCCACATGATTCAGAGGCATCCAAGGCAGCCCAAAAAAGTGGCAGCACTAGGTGGGGACGGTGTCTTGTTAGTGTGGCCAAAGAAATGTGCTGACTCAGAACATCTCTGCTACAACCTTCACAAACTGGACCCCCAGACAGACTTAATACTAGCTACCGTCCCACCGGGGGACTACTCCACCAGGCAGTTACTTTCACTGATGCATAGAGCTTAGAATTGCCTTCCTGTGCCAGCTTTGGAGAAAAGGCCTAGCATCTGTCAGAGCATAATGGCAGCATCAGAGCCATCAGCATGAGCATGAGACTGTTCAGGGGAAATTCCCACGTGAGATTCTGAAATCATATTCTGTGTAGTCTCCTCTCCGTAGCCCAACACACTATGCCAGGAGGATCAGCCAGTAGCCATGACCTGGGGTGCACTCAGCTGCTACCATTCAGTCACTCGTCAAGGGGGCTACTAACAGATAGGCGACAATTCCCCTCCTCCCTCTGCTTATCACACGCTGCACCCCATTCTAACAACGCCATAGTACTGCACGAAAACAGAGAGAACATGGCATGCAAATGATGACTAATGAAAGAGAAATGACCATTTATTTCAAAAATGGCAAGATGTGGTTTGCAGTTATTTATTTTATTAAAATGGTTACATATGTTGAAACAAAAAAGAGCAATACTAATAATGTTTGTTTTTCCTACATCATAAATAATTATTGAGTCTCCATTAGCTGTTGGCTCAGCACTGATCATGATCCTTGTTATTTAAAAAAACCCACACACACATACAACCTATTAGCATTTATGTTTTTAGAAAACATTTAAGCAGCAACAGAAAAAAATAAATTAAAGAAAATTGTAACAAGAAATGATGCAAGTATTTGTTAATTGTAAAACCTACTTGATATGTTTTTTTCAGGCTATTCTTTGTGCTTTGATCGTTTAAAAAAAGACAAACACATGTTTCTAAAATGGCTTGTCTTCTCCAGTTTATCCCAGAGAAGTCACTGAAAGTACTTTTCATTTTTAACAATATGACAAATATTGTTGTCATTTAGTCAAATAAAAACACTGAGAATATATCTAACAGAACAGTTTGACAAGACAATCAATTTATTGTCACAAAATATTTAATACCAGAATAACTTATAATAGTATGAACAAGAGTGAAGTATTTACTTTCTGTTCTTAGTTACAAACTCACATTATTATGACAAAAATCCAGTAAGTCAGGTACCAAAAATTATTGTCATGGAATTCTAAATACATAATGATGCAAGTCAATAAGAGGTATACTTCAACTGTTCATACAGTCATGACATATGTTTCCTGCTTGGCACTTTATGTCAATGCAAATCAGCAATTTAGAAAACAAAGTAAAAATATATATGTACAAAATATTTCCATATCAATCATTTTCACTGTACCCTAAATAAACCCAACATAATAGTATGTTACATCGGGAAGTGTCCTAGAAGTCACAAAAAGGATATTTGCTATATATCTTGACTATTTTAGTGCAACTGGAACAGACTATGCTTGTAGGGTAGTTTCATTATTGGCCCAATCCTGCTTCCACTGAAGTATATGGGAGTTTTGCTGTCAATGTCAACATTCCAGGACCAAAGGGCGAGTAATAACAACTGATAGGTTACCCACAGGAAAAAATATCCAAACCCTGGGAACAATCAGCTCTTTTCCAGTTTTCTGTAACTGATTCAGTACAAATTATATTTGGCTTCACCATTGTTTATTCAAGCACTGGTTAGGATATTGTTGTACGATTCAAGAAAACCTTGTACACCAAACACAAATTTCTGCTTTTACATTGATTATATCACTCAATAGCAGTCAAGTTTAGAGACTTAAAATGTTATTTTTAACGCATGATTTAGCATTGACTTTAAACCCTCCTAAAATACATGCTGATATTTTTCAGTGTTTCATGTCCCAGATGTTTTTAATTTGCGTTTTAACTTGGAGTATATATAGTTTTGATTATGTCTTTTTTTCCATTGAAATGTGAATTGTCAATCAACTGTCCTTATTTGATACAGTATGTACAAAATAAAAGCATTTGGACATATTAAAGTAATAAGAGTTTCCATTGTGGAAAGTTATTGAGCTCCAGTACAAATAACAAACTGTACTATAGGTTTAGTTTGGTACCAGAAGAGATTGGTTTTGTTTATGTATATAACTACTTCAATAAGTCAATAGCAAAGCTTTAGAAAGATGAAATCCAAATTGACTGTACAGATGGTCTTGCTGCAACCTTCTCCACTATAAATCTCTAATGATCACAATGTCTGTGTGTACGTGTGCATTCAGATTAATTTGAATGACTGAAATATTCCTAAACCTGTATGTTTTCTACAGTATTGCACTTTTCAAAGGAGTTATTTTGGTATTTTAACACACTGCAGATACAGGTAAGAAACATGCACAACAACCTCATTGTCACTTTGACAAAACAGACTATACAATTTTTAATAATACTGTGGATTTAAAAAAAAACAAAACATTTTCATTAAGATTCGCCAGTCATCAATTTGAATAAGTCAAATACACAAAAATTCTCTCAAGGGCTTCCAGCAATAATGTGTTCAGCCCTAGACTGCTCAGGCTCACTTGAAATAATATACAAAGATTAAGGTTAATGGCATTGTCATTTTGAGGCATAACTGTGTTGTACTATGCCCACGTTATAGCTTATTTTTTGAAAGCAAGGCACTTATTGTTATAGCAATGCAGACATTTTATGCGCTCTTTGATTAACATAAAATAAGTTAATATTTTGATAAAAATGGACTTTATTTTATAATTTACATGCCTTTTATAGAAGCAATTGAACATTTTATTTAATACAATGAAAAAGTCTGGGTCTGAGAGTGCATTTTAATTTTTTAACTGACCATAATGTTAAAAGGATCTATTTTCAATATTTGCTTCATAGCTGTGGATCGGATTTTACTGAAAACCAATGCTGTGAGGAATGTCCATTTGACCAAAAAATGTAACAATTTCTCAAAACTGCTGAACTAATGGCACTTTAACAGTCTTTATTTCTGATATATGTGATGACTTTTGAATGATGCAGCTGGTAGTTCCCTGCAGTTTATCCTTTCCTTGGGCAAGGTTTGTTAGGGCCATCGCTGCATTGATCTCCTTCCAGTATGTTTCGTCTTTGCTTGTTCCTTTTCTGTTAGCTGCGCTAGATTCAAGCAACAACAAACATTTACATGTACAGATTACATTTCTACCATGACATGTGACCAGGGTACATATTGCACAGAAAAATTCAAATGGCAAAGACAGCCCCTCACTCACCTTTCACACTTGTTGGGTCCATTTTCCAAAGTTTCTGAAAGCAGAGAGAAAATCCTATTATTGTCCATTTTGCGCACAGTATTTCCCAAAACATACCCCCAAACCCAGCATTAAATTGGCTCCGGTGGAAATAAGACTACTTCTGAAATGGAGATTAGTCTTTGATTCAATTAGTTGTATAGATATCCAATGGGAGAGCCTGAAATACCGTGGACCAGATTCACTCAAGGGTCTTGGCCAGAAGGAACTAGCATAGACCCTGAGCAAGGCACCAGGTGACAAAAAGTCCACTTTGAGAAGCTATGGCCAGGTAAAGACACAGGGGTATCATAACCAGCAAGGCCCCCAAAGTAGGTAGCATGAATGGGGAAGGAGCTGCTCTCTAGGGATGAATTCCTCCTGGAGCACAGCGTACCAGGCTTGGGGGTAGATGTAGTTCTCCCAGCTTCACAAAGGTGACTCTGGCCCTGGAAGCTTACTAAAGGTTCTGGTGGGATGAAGCTAGATGTTAAAAAGAATAATCCCGAGGACGTCAGGGATGATAAGAAACATGAAAAAGCAGAACCACAGTCCTGTACGAATCTAAAGGTAAATTTTCTACAAAACAAAATTTCCACTGACAAGACAGTTTGTGGTTTTAAATGTGACCCTGACCCAGTTTGTAACTAAACCACAAACAGGGATTTAGAAAGGACACATATTTACATAAATAACAAACACACATGATCAGTAGCCTTTAGTGATTTTGTTGTATCACAGGCATTTTCTCCTTTGCCCCATCCAGGCGATCCTTTTCAGAAAAATTCTGTGAGGGGAAGGGAAAGTTGCATCAGCATATAGAACATTATATGTGATTATGCTATATCCTGCAGTTTCCAGGGTGCACCAAGTGGCGCATATAGCCCTGTGAAACATCTGCCAGGCAAACCAAGCGTTGGGGGGCAACTTGCCCCATAGCAAATGACACCCTTGCCCACTCAAGAATGACAATTGTTCATTCAAGGAAGTTCTCCACAGTAACAGACGTAAGTGGATTTCCAATTAGGCACAGTAGGCACATGCCTAACAGTGCTGGCATCCCCTGTCTGTGTCTGGATTCCAGAGAAGACATATTTGAGAATCAGGCTGATCACTGGTTGCCAGCTACCACGATAATGCCAAGGATGATCTTTTCTTTAAATAGAGCTTCCATCTGAAGGGATCCCAGAACACTTTACAAACTTTACGAGGTAATTGTGCAAACTATATATAAAGAATCACTTCATCCGCCACTGGAATGCAGCCACTTCTGTCATGAAACCCAGCATATGTTTATCAGCACAACACAGCACATAGCTATATTCTATACCAGTTCAGGGTAGGAAGTAAAGAATATGATATCTAGCTGACATTGCAGGAGAAAAGTAAGCTGGCAGGAAATAATTAAACGAGTTAGAATTTGGCTAGTGTGCCAAACTTTAACAAATACCCTCTCCTCTTCCGAAGTGCCATGAATTTCATAAATCTTCCCAAGTGGTCAGGGACCTGAATTTTCTATGTCTTTCCAAGATGAAATGTACAAAAGCACAGTGCCCACTAGCAGTATTTTAGGATATTGCTTCAGTACTGGTCTCAGCAGGGAAAATGTGCGATCTGTACTGAGAGAGGGAGTCACAGAGAGAAGAAGAAACATTTGATTTGGTGGGATGTACTGAATCATCCCAGTATAACAAAAGGCCACCTGCTTAACCCTGTACCTCCCTGTATATTCTTTTCTTCTGATTCATTTATTTTCTTTCATTTTAAGAGGATAGGATGGGGGTGAATATGCCCCACCTTGTAAAAAACCCTGTGTGGGTAGGTGTACAAATAGAAACGGAAAAAATAATGAATGTCACTGCGATAAGAACACACACTCACTCAAGCATCTGTGAGACTTTTACTTTAGGAAAACATTCCTGTGAACAAAAAAATTGCTTGTACAAACATTTGAGGAACATGGCCATGAATGGTGATCAGTATTCCAATTCCACTGTTGATTTCAATGAGTATTTGCAAATCTTTTTTAGGAGTGTTCATCTAGATATAAATGAAAGTGACTTGCCCAAGGTCATATCAAACCAGTACCACAGCCAAAAAATAGACTCTAAGGGCTTGTCTACATGAGAAGTTTAAATTGCACTAATTTTAGCTAGAATACACTCAAATAACTTGCATTTATACAACGCAATTCTAGTCCTCACTCACCGACACTTACCATTACATAATGCTATTGTTTTAAATAAAAAATAACTCTTTAACTCAGTCAGGTTTTGTTTTAAAAAACAAATAGATGTACTTAAAATGTTTGTCTCTAAAATTGCACTGTAACAGAAATATCATTGATTATTTTGCAAAGTTCTTGCTAACAATTGATAAAAGAGAAAGATTGTATAATGAACTCTGAAAACCTTTAATTTCCAGGGTTGTGGCCCTTTTTGCTGCCAAAATTCCTTTGCTTCTACTCCAAGTTTCTACTGCACTTCTTGTCTTGCACTTCTATAGTAGCCAAGAATCTCAAAGCACTTTACAAAAAGTATTAATTAAGCCTCACAACAACCCACTGAGGTTGGTGGGCACTGTCTCCATTTTATAGATAGGGACAATGCAGCACCAAAAGGCTAATGACGCCGTTCAGCCAGGTGATAAGTGCCTTTACCTCCCCCTGATGTCAAGGGGAATTGAGGGTCTCTAGGATTGCTCAGCACCTTGGAAGATCAAGTCTTTAAAATGACTGGACCAAATTCACAAAGCAAAGCTACATTTTGCTTGTTGTTCACCTCTCGTAATTTGTCCTGCTCCGTCTCTCTGAGTATTGGGCATAATGTCTTTTGACATTCTATGTATCTGAATACCAACTAATCAGAATATTTTAACTGCAAAGGCAACACATTGGTGAAAACAACTTCTGAATGTAAAAAAATACCCACAGGACGCTGTATTTCTGAACAACAAAGGAGATGGGGATCTTGAATGCTGAAAGCCAGAATATACAATGTATTCCTGAAAATGGTGTTGTTTCCTAAGACAGATCCTTTTCAGTCGCAATGGTAAAAATGGCATGACACTGGCACTGAATACTGTCCTTGACAATGGTATTTGCAAGGACTGAATTAATAATGCTAAACATATGAAATCCCATTGACCATACCGAGGTGAGCACTTGGTCATCAGCAATGTACAGAATGAGCATTTTAAACTTGACCTATAACTACTATAAAATAGACTTGAACTGCAGATCCCAAATTTGACCAGTACTTTATTCAGGAGAGCAGGGATACCCCAGATTTACCCTATTTAGTAGCCATGAGCCTAGGAGCTATCTTAATTTGCATAAAGTAGACCTGATTGCAGACATCTTTCTCTAGAGGCCCGGCTCTCCTTTTGGTTCCATCAAGATGGAGCAATACATACTGGGAGCTTTAGCCTCAATGAGCCAAGCTTCTTTACTAAAAATTAATAAAGGCTGCATTGTAGAGGTCTCTAGTCCACATTTGGCTTTGGTATTGTATTTTGGTTACCAACCCTGTGTAGCTTGATAAAGGAACAAGCCAATATCATGTCATGCACTATGTACAGTACTACCAAATTATAGGACCTCCATAGCACTTTACATATGAAAAGCACTGTATAAACAACTATGTCTTGAAGAAGAACTCCAAAGTTCGTCTCTCTCACCAGCAGAAGTTGGTCCCATAAAAGACATTACCTCATCTACCAGGTCTCTCTAATATCCTGGGACCAACACGGCTATAACAACACCGCATATAGAAAAGAAGTACTTGTGGCACATTAGAGACTAACCAATTTATTTGAGCATAAACTTTCGTGAGCTACAGCTTACTTCATCGGATGCATACTGTGGAAAATACAGAAGATGTTTTTATACACACAGACCATGAAAAATTGGGTGTTTATCACTATAAAAGGTTTTCTCTCCCCCCACCCCACTCTCCTGCTGGTAATAGCTTATGTAAAGTGATCACTCTCCTTACAATGTGTATGATAATCAAGGTGGGCCATTTCCAGCACAAATCCAGGTTTTCTCCCCCCCCCCCCCAAAACCCACTCTCCTGTTGGTAAAAGCTTATCTAAAGTGATCACTCTCCTTACAATGTGTATGATAATCAAGGTGGGCCATTTCCAGCACAAATCCAGATTTTTTTGTGATAAACACCCATTTTTTTCATGGTCTGTGTGTATAAAAACATCTTCTGTATTTTCCACAGTATGCATCCGATGAAGTGAGCTGTACCTCACGAAAGCTCATGCTCAAATAAATTGGTTAGTCTCTAAGGTGCCACAAGTCCTCCTTTTCTTTTTGCGAATACAGACTAACACGGCTGTTCCTCTGAAACACTGCATATGTAAGGATAAATATATAGCAATAAATACTATATGACAGGCACCTGCAGTCATTATCAACTGCATAACACTGTCTACTGAATTCCAAATATCACATTTTCTAAATGTCCTCTAGTTTCAGCTGCATTCAATATTCTTCTTCTGTGTCCTACTGAAAAGGAACTGGATTAAGTATCAGAGGATGATGCACTTCAGTGAGGGGAGCAGTGATTTCTGTGTACACTTTGGAAAATACTTCAGGGTCCTTGGGGTGAAAGACAATTAAACAGCAACAGTCAGAAATGCCTTTTTATTATGTGTTTGTACTGTGTCTAGCACAGGGGACGCTGGCCTACAACTACCACAACATAAATAATAAATAATTATGACTGTTGTTGTTTGTTGTTGTTGTACCTTCCTTTCTGCTGTTCCTTTCTGCTCCCAATTACACAAGCACTCAAGAGGGTTAGATTTTATTGGCCAGAAATGCTTCATTCTGTTCCCACCATGCACCCAAAGAGACCAGCTCGGCTGAATATTTGTTCCCTGTTGTTTATAGCAGGAAGTACCAATAAATCTCCTACCAATGGGATCCTATATACCTTTCCATTAATAGAAGTGTTCAGTATAGAGTAAGCATTAAAACTATAGCATTCAGTGCCAGGATTATAG